TGGCCATCTGCATGTATTCTTTGGAGAAATGTCTATTTAGGTCTTCTGCCCATTTTTGGATTGGCTTCTTTGTTCTTTTTTGATACTGAGCTTCATGAGTTGTTTGTAAATATTGGAGATTAGTCCCTTGTCAGTCACACTGATTGCAAATATTTTCTCTCATTCTGTGGGCTGTCTTTTCATTTTGTTTATGGTTTACTCTGCCATGCAGAAGTTTTTGAGTTTAATTTGGTCCCATTTTTTAATTTTCATTTCCATTGCTCTAGATGGATTGAAAAAGATATTGCTGTGATTTATGTCAGTGTTCCTCCTATGTTTCCTCTAAGGGTTTTACAGTATCTGATCTTACATTTCTGCTTTAATTTCTCTTTTTGATCTTTCATTGTTACTGTATAGAAATGCCACAGATTTCTGTGTATTTATTTTATATCTTGCAAATTTACCAGTTCATGAGATTTAGTAGTTTTCTGATCTTACATTTAGGTCTTTAATCCATTTTGCATTTATTTTTATTTACGGTGTTAAAGCATGTTCTAATTTCATTTTTTTTTAACATGTAGCTGTCCAGTTTTCCCAGCACCACTTTTGAAAAGACTGTCTTTTCTCCTTTGTGTATTGTTGCCTCCTTTGTTGTAGATTAATTAACCATAAGTGCGAAGGTTTATTTCTGAGCTTTCTATGCTGTTCCATTGATCTATATGTCTGTTTTTATGTCAGTACCATACTATTTTGATGACTGTAACTTTGTAGTATAGTCTGAGATCAGGGGGCCTGATTCCTCCAGCTCCATTTTTCTTTCTCAAGATTGCTTTGGCTATTTGTGGTCTTCTGTGTCTCCATACAAATTTTAAGATTTTTTTGTTCTAATTCTGTGAAAAATGCCATTGGTAATTTGATAGGGATTGCATTGAATCTGTAGTTTAACTTTGGTAGTGTAGACATTTTGATAATATTGATCCTTCCAATCCAAGAACATGGTATATTTTTCCATCTGTTTGTGTCATCTTTAATTTTTATCATCAGTGTCTTATAGTTTTTGGAGTACAGTTCTTTTGCATCCTTAGGTTGGTTTATTTCTAAGCATTTTATATATATTTTTTCAAATCAAACAAATAGAATGGGATACCTGTTTTATAAGACATTTTAATTAATTAACTAGGTTGCGCTGGGCCTTAGTTGTGGCTTGAAGCCTCCTTAGTTGTGGTACATGAACTCTTAGTTATGTGGGATCTAGTTCCCTGACCAGCAATCGAATCCAGTCCCCTGCATTGGGAGCTTGGAGCCTTAACAACAGCACTACCAGGGAAGTCACACTAAGTATTTTATTCTTTTTGATGCAATGGTAAATGGGATTTCTGCCTTAATTTCTCTTTCTGATCTTTCATTGTTACTGTATAGAAATGACACAGATTTCTGTGTATTTACTGTATATCTTGTAAATTTACCAATTGATGAGATTTAGTAGTTTTCTGGTAGCTTCTTTAGGATTTTCTGTATAGTATCATGTCATCTGCAAACAGTGACAGTTTTAGTTCTTTTCCAATTTTGATTCACTTTAACACATTTTCTTCTCTGATTTCTGTGTCTAGGACTTCCAAAACCATGCTGAATAAAACTGGAGAGAGTAGGCATACTTGTCTTGTTCCTGATCTTATAGGAAACATTTAAAGCTTTTAACCTTTGAGTATGATGTTAGCTGTAGGTTTGTCATTTACAGCCTTTATTATGTGGAGGTATGTTCCCAATAGGCCCACTTTCTGGAGAGTTTTCATCATAAATTTGTGTTGAATTTTGTCAAAAGCTTTCTCTGCATCTATTGACATGTTCATATGGTTTTTATTCTTCAATATGTTGATGTGGTGTATCACACTGATTGATTTGTTGATATTGAAAAATCCTTGCATCCCTTGGGTAAATCTCACTTGATCATAGTGTATGATCCTTTTAATGTATTGTTGGATTCAGTTTCCTAGTATTTTCTTAAGCAGTTTTTGTGTCAATATTCATCAGTGATATTGGCCTGTAATTTCCTTTTTTTGTGATATCTTTGGTTTTGGTATCAGGGTGATGGTGGCTTCATAGAATGAGATTAGGAGTTTTCTTTCCTCCAAAGTTTTTTGGAAAAGTTTCAGGATAGCTTATCTCTTCCCTCAGTGTTTGATAGAATTTTTCTGTGAAGCCGTCTGGTCCTGGACTTTTATTTGTTGGGAGTCTTGTTAATCACAGTTTCAATTTCATTTCTTGGGAGATTGTACCTTTCTAAGAACTTGTCCATTTCTTCCAGGTTGTCCATTTTATTGGCATATAGTTGCTTGTAGTAGTGTCTTATGATTTTTTGTATTTCTGTGGCGTCCATTGTAACTTCTCCTTTTTCATTTCTAATTTTACTGATTTGAGGCCTCTCCCTCTTTTTCTTCGAGTCTAGCTATTGTTTTATCACTTTTGTTCATCTTCTCAAAGAACCAGCTTTTCGTTTCATTGATTTTTTTCTATTTTTTCTTCATCTCTGTTTCATTTATTTCTGCTCTGATCTTTATTATTACTTTCCTTCTACTCTCTTTGGGTTTTGTTTGTTCTTCTTTCTCTATTGCTTGGGGTGTAAGGTTAGGTATTTATGTGAGATTTTTCTTGTTTCCTGAGATAAGACTGTATTGCTATAAACTTCCCTCTTAGAACTCCTATTTCTGCATCCCATAGGTATTGCGTCATAGTGCTTTTATTTTCATTTGTCTCTAGGTATGTTTTGATTACTTCTTTGGTTTCTTCAGTGGCCCATTTGTTGTTTAGTAACTTATTGTTTTGCTTCCACGTGTTTGCATTTTTTACTTTTTTCCCCCTGTGGTTTATTTCTAATCTCATAGCATTGTGGTTGGAAAAGAGGTTTGATATGATATCAGTTTTCTTAAACTAGTCCAGCCTTGATTTCTGATACAAGATGTTTTCTATCCTGGAGAATGTTTCATGTGCACTTGAGAAGAATGTGTATTCTGCTGCTTTTGGATGGAAGGCTCTATAAATATTATGTCTATTTGTTTTAATGTCATTTAAAGCATATGTTTTCTTATTGATTTTCTGTCTGGATGATCTGTCCATTGTTGAAAGTGGGGTGTTAAAGTCACCTCCTATTATGTGTTACTGTTGATTTCTCCTTTTATGTTTCTTGGTATTTGCCTTATTTATTGATGTGATCCTATGTTGGGTGTATATATTTTTACAATCGTTATACCTTCTTCTTGGATTGATCCCTTGATCATTATTCAGTTTCCTTCTTTGTCCCTTTAACATTCTTTATTTTAAAGTTTATTTTGTCTGATATGATTATTGTTAATCCAGCTTTCTTTTTACTTCCATTTGCATGGAGTATCTTTTCCCATCCCCTCACTTTCAGTCTGTATGTGTCCCTAGATCTGAAGTGAGTCTCTTGTAGAGAGCATATATATGGGTCTTGTTTTTGTATCAATTCTGCCAGTCTATGCCTTTGATTGGAGCATTTACATTTAAGGTAATTATCGATATGTGTTTTTTAAAAAATATCTTTATTGGAGTATAATTGCTTTACAATGGTGTGTTAGGTTCTGCTTTATAACAAAGTGAATTAGCTATACATATATTCCCATATCTCCTCCCTATTGCATCTCCCTCCCACCCTCCTTATCCCACCCCTCTAGGTGGTCACAAAGCACTGAGCTGATCTCCCTGTGCTATGCAGCTGCTTCCCACTAACTATATATTTTACATTTGTTGGTATATATAAGTCCATGCCACTCTCTCACTTCATCCTAGCTTACACTTCCCCCTCCCTGTGTCCTCAAGTCCATTCTCTATGTCTGCATCTTTATTCCTGTCCTGCCCCTAGCTTCTTCAGAACCTTTTTGTTTTGGATTCCATATATATGTGTTAGCATACAGTATTTATTTTTCTCTTTCTGACTTACTTCACTCTGTATGACAAACTCTAGGTCCATCCACCTCACTACAAATAACTCAGTTTCATTTCTTTTTATGGCTGAGTAATATTCCATTTTATATATGTGCCACATCTTTATCCATTCATCTGTGGATGGACACTTAGTTTGCTTCCATGTCCTGGCTATTGTAAATAGAGCTGCAATGAACATTGTGGTACATGACTCTTTTTGAATTATGGTTTTCTCAGGGTATATGCCCAGTAGTGGGATGGCTGGTTCATATGATAGTACTATTTTTAGTTTTTTTTAAGGAACCTCCATACTGTTCTCCATAGTGGCTGTATCAATTTACATTCCCACCAACAGTGCAAGAGTGTTCCATTTTCTCCACACCCTCTCCAGCATTTATTGTTTATAGATTTTTTGATGGTGTCCATTCTGACTGGTGTGAGTTGATACTTCATTGTAGTTTTGATTTGCATTTCTCTAATGATTAGTGATGTTGAGCATTCTTTCATGTGTTTGTTGGCAATCTGTATATCTTCTTTGGAGAAATGTCTATTTAGGTCTTCTGCCCATTTTTGGATTGGGTTTTTTGTTTTTCTGATATTGAGCCTCATGAGCTGCTTGTAAATTTTGGAGATTAATCCTTTGTCAGTTACTTCATTTGCAGATATTTTCTCCCATTCTGAGGGGATATGTGTGTTCTTATTGCCATTTGTTTAATTATTTCTGATTTGTTTTTGTAGGTGTTTTTTCTTCCCTTCCCCTTTTTTATCTCTTCTCTTGTGATTTGTGACTTAGTGTTGTGTTTAGATTCCTTTTTCTTTTCGTGTGTTTATGTATTGCATATTTTTGTTTTTTGATTACTGAGAGTTTTTGATATAGCAGTCTATATATAAACAAGATTGTTTTAAGTTTCTTGTTTTTTAATTACCAATACATTTCCAATAACCTACATTTCTGCTCTCCTCTTCTCATAGTTGCTGGTTTTGATATCATATTTTTGTGCAAATGATTTCTTACCTTTACTGTATGTTTGCCCTTATTGGTGAGCTTTCCCATTTGTAATTTTCTTATTTTAGTTTTGGCCTTTCTTTCTTGCATAGAGAAATTCCTTTACGATTTGTTGCAAAACTGCTCTGGTTGTGCTGAATTCTTTTAGCTTTTGCTTGTCTGCAAAGCTTTTGATTTCTCTGTTGAATACGAATGATAGCCTTGCTGGTTAGAGTATTCTTGTTTGTGGCTTCTTCCATTTCATAACTAAATATATCATGCCACTCCCTTCTAGTCTATAGAGTTTCTCCTGAGAAATCAGCTGATCACCTTATGGGAGTACTATTGTATGTTATTTGTTGCTTTTCCCTTGTTGCTTCTAATATTTTTTCTTTGTCTTTAATTTTTGTCATTTTGATTACTATGTGTCTTAGTATGTTCCTTCCTGGGTTATCTTGCCTGGGACTCTCTGTGTTTCTTTGACTTGAGTGACTGTTTCCTATCTCATGTTAGGGAAGTTTTCAGCTATTATCTCTTCAAATACTTTCTCAGGTCCTTTCTCTCTCTCTTCTTTTTCTGAGACCCTTATATTCAGAATGTTGGTGCATTTAATGTTGTCCCAGATGTCTCTGAGACTGTCCTCATTTCTTTTTATTCTTTTTTCTTTATTCTGTTCTGCAGCAGTGATTTCCACCATCCTGTCCTTCTGGTCACTTATCTGTTCTTCTGCCTCAGTTATTCTGCTAATGATTTTTTCTAGTGTACTTTTCATTTCAGTCATTTTATTGTTCTTTAGTTCTTCTAGATCTTTGTTAAACATTTCTTGTATCTTCTTGATCTGTTCCTCCATTCTTTTTCCAAAACCTTGAATCATCTTTACTATCATTACTATCAATCTTTTACTGGTAGATTGCCTGTCTTCACTTCACTTTTTTGTTCTTGGCTTTTATTTTGTTCCATCTTCTGGGACATATTCCTCTGCCATCTCATTTTGTCTAAGTTTCTGTGATTGCAATTTCCATTTCTCAGACTGCAGGGTTATAGTACTTCTTGCTTCTGCTGTCTGCCACCTGGTGGATGAGGCTGTCTAAGAGGTCTGTGCAGGCTTCCTGGCAACAGGAAGTGGTTCTTGTCCACTAGTGGATGGAGTTGTGTCTTGTCCATCTGGTGCACAGGGCTGTGTCAGTGGGTGTGGTTTATTGGGCAACTGTGTATTCAGAAAGACTTTAAGCAGCCTATCTGCTGATGGGTGTGGTTGTGTACTTGACCTGCTTGTTCTTTGGCCTGAGGCATCCCAGAACTGGAGCTTACAGGCTATTTGGTGGGGTCAGGTCTTGGTGAGAAAATGGCAGACTCCAACAGGTCTCACACCAATAAGTAGTCCCCAGAACTGCCACCACCAGTGTCCTTGTCCCTCAGTTAGCCACAGCCACCACCACCCCTGCCTTCACTGGAGACCCTCCAATACTAGCAGGTAAATCTGGCCCTGTCTTTTATGAGTTCACCACTTTTTTCCCCCTGAGTCCTTGTGTGCATGAGAAATTGTGTCCACCCTCCAAGAGTGGAGTTTCTGTTTCCCCTAGTCCTGTAGAATTCCTGTGATCAAACCTCACTGGTCTTCAAAGCCAGATCTTCTGGAGGCTCCTCCTCCTGTTGCCAAACCCCCAGGCTGGGAAGCCTGACATGGGGCTCAGAACTTTCACTCTTGTGAGAAATCTTCTGTAGTATAATTATTTTCCAGTTTGTGGGTGACCCACCTGGTGTGTATGGGATTTGATTTTATTGCAGTTGTGCCACTCTTACTATCTCATTGTGGCTTCTTCTTTGCTTTTGGATATAAGGTATCTTTTTGGTAGGTTCCAGGGTTTTTATGATTGATGGTTGTTTAGCAGTTAGTTGTGATTTAGTGTTTCCATAAGAAGAGGTGAGCTCAAGTCCTACTCTGCCATCTTGTCTCCTCCCTATATGTTTTTATTTTATCCTCTTTCTTCTTTTTTCTTTTAACTTTCTCTGTTTGTCTTTATGAAATTAGGTGAAAAAGTTACCTATCCTGGTCTTGAAATTATGTCCTTGGATGGGAACATCTCTATGCAGTCTGTGTGTGCTCAGTGATTTTGGTGGGGAAGCTGGATCAGAAATGAGCATGGACCTTATCTTTTCCTTGGGAAAAATGGCAGTCACCACCTTGGTTTGGTATAGGGATACAGCTGCTAGGGCTAGAGCCGGAGCTAGTTGCAACCTGGATTTCTCCAAAACTCAATGGCTATTGCCACCTGTTGAGTTGCAGGTCATGGGGCCCTGGTGTTGGAGCCACAGTCTGGAGTAACCTCATCTTTTCCGTGGTGTAATGGCAGTTACTACATTTGTTGGGGGTGTGGCTGGGGTCCAAGAAGCTGACCTATGATCTCTAGGATGTTCAGTTTTTCTCTGGAGTGATGGTGGTTTTCCTCTTGACCTGGCACAGAATTAGGACCCTTGGGTCTGGAGGCACAGTTCTGAATGAGCTCTGATTCTCCCTGGATGAATGGTGGTTGCTGTCTTGGCCAAAGGTGAGGCTGGGGGCTGGGGGATGGAGTGAAGCCCAATAAAAGCCCAAGGTGCAATGTTGTTAATGTCATTTGGGGGAGTAGGAGGGTTGGAGCTGGATTCTGGTGTGGGCTGGGGAGAGGGTGTGAGCTGAGGTGGTCCTGGCATGTCAGCAAGAGCACCAGGAAGTTTTCAGTTTGCTGTCTCTGCACTGGAACTTGAGGCAAGCAAGTCTTTGTGTGTTCTCCTCAAGAGTGGAGTTCTGGTTTTCTACAGCCCTCCAGTAAGTCTCACTGGTTTTCAAACCAGTCAACAGGGCTTGTCTTCCCAGTGCCAGATCCCATGACTGGAGTGCTCAGTGTGGGGCTAGAAGCCCTTGCTCCTTAGGGAGGATCCTGAAGCTTGAGCTTGTAATATCCCCCTCTTCTTCTGGTTCTCCAAGTTGGGTGTGTGTCCTGATAAGTTTGCTTCTCATTCCCTCCTACCAGACTCTGTATGGTTCTTTCTTTATAACCTTTGTTTTAGAGAAGCCATTCTGCTAGTATTCAGGTTGGTCTCAGAGAGAGTTGTTCTATATGTAATTGTAGTTTTGATGTATTTGTGGTGGGAGGTGAGCTCAGGGTTTTTCTACTTCACCATCTTAATCCTGCTCCTCTCTGTAGTTTAAACATTTTAAGTGTCTGGAGGATGCATACAGAGATCCACTTGTCTTGAGACTGCGCATGACAAGCCTCTTATTAAACCTACCACCTGCCAAACTGGAGTGGCCTGCTTTTATCTTTGGTCTCTCCTTTTCCTCTGTGTATGGCGGCCAGTTTCAGATTTCACCTAAGAAGTTCCTGAGGTTGCAAACCAACAGTGGAATCACATAATATGTGTCCTTTTGATTCTGGCTTCTTTCACTTAGCATAATATTGTAAATTTTTATCCATGGTGTAGCTTGTTTCAGTGGCTTTTAATGGCTGAACAACAGTCCATTGTATGGAGCTACATTTGTTTATCTATTTTCTAAAATCCATTCAACTGATGGACATTTCAGTTGTTTATACTTGTTTGCTATTATGAATAATGTTATGAAAATTCATACCCATTTTTGTGTGTATATTTTTAAAATTCTCATAGATACATATCTATACTTATTAGTAAAATTTCTGCATCACATGCTAACTTTATGTTTAACTTTTTGAAGAAATACCAAACTGTTTCCCAACAGTTTGGCTGTACCATTTTACATTACTACCAGCAGTGTATGGGGGTTCCAATTTATCCACATTCTTTCCATCACATGTTATTGTTCATCTTTTTCTGATTACAGGCATCCTACTCTGTGTAAGGGGTATCTCATTGTGGTTTTGACTTACATTTCCCATTGGGAATGGGATGTTGAACTTGTTTTTATGTGCTTATTGGCCACTTTTATATCTTCTTTGGAGAAATGTCTATTCAGATCATTTGCCAATTTTTTAATTGGGTTATTTTTCTTTAAATTGTTGAGTTGTAATAATTTTTTATATATTATGATTACTAGACCCTTATGAGATATATGATTTGCAAATGTTTTTCTCATTCTATGGATTGTCTTTTCATTTCCATTTTTTTTTTCTGAGAGAGTCCTTTGAAGAAGAGAAGGTCTTGATTTGGGTAAAATTCCTTTTCTCTATTTTTTCCCCAGTTGCTTGTGCTTTAGGTGTCATATCTAAACATAACAAAACAAAATTGCCTAATCCTGGGTCATAAAGATTTACATTTGTGTTTTCTTCATAAGTTTTTAATGGAGAAGGAGTGGTTTCTTGGACAAGGAAAACGCAGAGGAAATTTCTGAACAGGAGGAACTGCAGGTGAAAAGTCATAGAGTTGTGAGAGGTTTTAGTGATTTTCATAAGACAGAGGTAACTGAGGTGTAGCATACAATTTTCTGATGTAGTGTTTAATTTTTTTATAAATTTGCATTTTTACTTTCTACCAGGACACTGTGTATGTTTTATTTTATAATGTGCCTTCAGATGTCTAGATGGAATGCTTTTTCTGAACAGAAATTGTTACTACACATTAGCTTAATGTTGCCTGCATACTGGTTAATTCTACAACATATGTTTCCAATAATAATGAAGAAGAAAAAAAACCTAGTGGGAGAGTTTATTTTTATCTTATATCAAGAATTTCATTGAGAAAGATAACAACATACATAGAATCTGTGCTGAAAGTCTTAGCTGAGTGAACAACAGTGAAAAGAAACATTGTTTTTCTTTTTTTGGCCTGCTCCTTCAAATTCACTGTTAAAAAAACAGGAGTACTCTAGAGTAGTGGTCATTAAACCTGGCTGCACAATAGAAACTCCTGGAGACATTTTCAAAAATACAGATCCTTAGGCCCCATTCCAGACCTAGTAAGTCAGAATGTCATTTAAAAAAAAAAAACATATCCAGTGATTCTCAAACTCAGCCAGCTTTGGAGACCAGTGTTCTAGTGGGATTTGCCTTATCTGCAGTGGTCCAACTGTGTTGATTGCTTCAAGCCAAATTGGTTAATACAAATAAGAATTAATATTATTTTCTAGAAACATACTATACTGTATCAGAAATATTTCCTTCATCAATTAACAAATGTACAGGAAAAGGGAATTTGGAGAGTTAATGAAGCAGATGTATTTCATTTAATTTATTGGAAAGAGGAAAAGCCATGATCACAATATTGTCTACAGAAATCAGCCTAAGAGGAGCAGAATATATCACCTCAAAATATGCCACTTTGGAATATTGATTATTTTCAATTAAAATTACTTTAAGAAACAGCAGGTACAAAGATACTCTGATCTTCCTTTGTCTCCTTGAAAGTAGGAAATAAATCTTCCATGTGAAACTACCCTTCCTGTATCAGGAGGATAAAAGGTATCCTTATCACCATATCTAGAGAATTCAGGGCCAAGAAGGTTATATAAGCAAATATTGTTACTTTTCAATAATTTGCTACCCCAAGCCCAAATCCCTTTGTTTTGCCAATTCTTCACAAATTTGCTAAAAGGTGTAAAACTACCTGCTTTTGTCACTTATTGGAGTCATATTTCTATGGGATCATGTATATATAAAATTAAATTTGTTTTTCTACTATTAATGTCTTATGTCAGTTTAATTAATAGACCAGCCAAAGAAACTAGACAGGTAGAAAAGTTTCTTTTTCCCCTACAATGGTGGTTACATTTAATGATGACAACTCAATAATAAAATCAGCCATAACACTGAGACTTTCTATAAAATTACCAAAACATACATTTGTTTTGACTATAAGAATATTGCCATTTTATTGAATAGGCTGAAATCAGTGGAAGAATAATCAGGAATCAATTTTATTTTTCTCTCATCACTGCTTTGAGGCAGTCTCTGATAAATTTCCCTTCTCTGCCATTGAACAAAAACTCTGGCAAAAGTCTTAGTTTTTCAGTCACTCTTATGAACATGAAAAAGTCCAGTTCTCATTCATTTCAAAGCTTCTCTTTTCCCAGCTTGGCCTAACTTCTGACCTGGGGTATTGGGTTGGTAGTAGGGAAATAAGGAGGAAAGTTTGTTTAGTTTTACCCTTAACTACTAAGTTGCTCCTAGCTTCTCCAAGTTGATCCTAAGTGTGGGGTTCAGGAAATTTTAAATAAATTAGTATATATTTTGGATTTTTCAGCCATTTATTATGATATTCTAAAAAAAAACTATAAAGAAAATTCAAACACCTATGTATCAACTACCCAGTTTAAGAAATATAATATTACCAATATAGATTCATAAGCCTTTATTTGAAACTCTTGGGGTAAGATGTTTTTTTAAAATTTAGACTATTTCAAAATTTGAGAAAGCTAATACTTTGTGCCATATATTATATAACACTGTCAGTGAGGTCTGTGGCCATATCCCTAGTTGAATACAGTAGTATTTTTACACCTTAATGTACAGTTATTTAGCCTAAATAAGATAACTTTAGATTATAAATTCTCATGTCAGATCAGGTTTTTATTTTATTTTTTCTCCAAATTGTTTTAGGATATTTTTCACAAGACAAATGTTATTGGAATCTGGAAATTGCTTTCTCTTATCATATCCAGTGTCCGAATGCAGCCTCTTTAGTTTTTGTTTATTTTGTTTTTCTCCCCCCAGTTTTATTGAAGTATAATTGCTGCATAACACTGTATTCATTTCAGGTGTACAATGTAATGATTTGATATATGAATATATTGTGAAATGATCACCACACTAAGTTTAGCTAATATCCATCAACTCACATAGTTACCATTTTTTCCATGAGATAAGAAGGTTTAAAAACTACTCTCTTAGCAACTTTCAAATATAAAATACAGCACCATTAGCTATAGGCACCATGCTGTATATTACATTCTTAGAACTTATTTATCTTATAACTGGAAATTTGAATCTTTTGCCACATTCACCCATTTCCCTCACCCCTACCTCCTGCCTCTGGTAATTAAAAATCTACTCTATTTATACAAGTTCTGTATTTTTTTAGATTCCACATATGACACCATACAGTATTTGTTTTTCTCTGTCTGACATATTTCACTTTGCATAATGCCATCATGTCTCTTTAATGGGACATATTTGTGGTGAGTTCTTTGGATAACCTCCACAAGGAACTTCTAAATGCATTCTTCTATTTCAGGGAAAATGGATCATTTGTCCTCATGCACCTACACCTCTTTACTCCTGGTCAGATTCATTCTAGATACATAATGTGGTTTTATTATTTCTAAAGATTTCCAGTGGTTAAAATGTCAGTGTTATTCTTCAGCTAATATAGGTAGTGGCTTATTTACTCACTGACATTAATTGAATCTGACAAGTCAGGTGTTTCTTGTTTGGATGACCATCTAAATTTAAAATTATCCACATAAGAGTTAAAATATTACTTTTTCTCATATAATTTTTATATCAGATTTATTGAAGTATAGTTCATATGCAGTAAAATTTATCCTTTAAAAATGTATAGGTCTATGATAAAAACTCTTCAGAAGTTGGACATAGAGGGAACATATCACAACATAATACAGGCCATATATGACAAAAACACAGCTAACATAATACTCAATGGTGAAAAGCTGAAAGCATTTCCTCTAAGATCAGGAACAAGACAAGTATGCCCACTCTTGCCACTTTTATTCAATATAGTTTTAGAATTTCTAGCCATGGCAATCAGAGAAGAAAAAGAAATAAAAGGAATCCAAATTGGAAAAGAAGTAAAGCTGTCCCTGTTTGCAGATTACCTGATGCAAAATCCTAAATATGCTACCAGAAAACTACTCGAGCTCATCAATGAATTTGGTAAAGTTGCTGGATGCAAAATTAATATAGTGCATTTCTACATATTAACAATGAACAATCAGAAAGAGAAATTAAAGAAACAATCTCATTTACCACCTCATCAAAAAGGATAAAATATCTAGAAATAAACCTACCTAAGGAAGCAAAAGACCTGTACTCTGAAAACTATGACACTGAAGGAAGAAATTGAAGACAACACAAACAGATAGAAAGATATACCGTGTTCTTGGATTGGAAGAATCAATATTGTTAAAATGACCATACTACACAAGGCAATCTACAGATTCAATGCAATCCCTATCAAATTACCAATGGCATTTTTCACAGAACTAGAGCAAAAAATCTTAAAATTTGTATGGAGACACAAAAGACCCCAAATAGCCAAAACAATCTTGAGAAAGAATGGAACTGGAAGAAAAAGGTTCCCTGACTTCAGACTATACTACAAAGTTACAGTCATCAAAATAATATGGTACTGGCACAAAAACAGACATATAGATCAATGGAAAAGGAAAAAAGAAGCCAGAAATAAGCCCACACATTTATGGTCAATTAATCTACAAAGAAAGAGGTAAAAATATACAATGGAAAAAAGAGTCTTTTCAATAAATGATGTTGGGAAAACTGGACAGCTACATGTAAAAGAATGAAATTAGAACATTCTCTAACACCATATACACAAATAAACTCAAAATGGATCAAAGACCTAAATGTAAAACTGGGTACTATGTTTCCTCCTAGAGGAACTGTTTCCTCCTAGAGGAAAATATAGGCAGAACACTCTTTGACAAAAATTGCAGTAATATTTTTTTGGGATCCATCTCCTAGAGTGATGGAAATAAAAACAAAAATAAACTAACTAGACTTAATTAAACTTAAAAGCTTTTGCAGTACAAAATAAATTATAAACAAAATAAAAAGACAACATAACGACTGGGATAAAATATTTGTAAATGATATTACAAACAAGGGATTAATTTCCAAAATATACAAACAGCTCACACAGCTTACTATAAAACAAACAAACAAACAAAACAAATAAAAAAAATAGCCAGAAGACTTAAATAGACATTTCCGCAAAGAAGACATACAGATGGACAACATGCACATGAAAGGGTGCTCAATATCACTATTAGAGAAATGTGAATCAAAACTAGAATGAGCTGTCACCTCACACCAGTCAGAATGGCCATGATTAAAAAGTCTACAAACAATAAATTCTGGAGAGGGTGTGTAGAAAAGGGAACCTTCCTACACTGTTGGTGGGAATGTAAATTTGTGCTGCCATTATGTAGAACATTATGTAGGTTCCTTAAAATACAAAAAATATAGTTACCATATGATCCTGCAATCCCACGCTTTTTCCAGAGAAAACCATAATTTGAAAATTTACATACACCCCAGTGACTTTCCTGGTGGTGCAGTGGTTAAGAATCTGCTGGCTAATGCAGGGGACAGGGGTTCAGGCCTTGGTATGATAAGATCCCACATGTCACAGAACAACTAAGCCTGTGAGCCACAACTACTGAGCCTGCATGCCACAACTACTGAAGCCTGCATGCCTAGATCCCATGCTCCACAACAAGAGAAGCCACTGCAATGAGAAGTCCACACACCACAATGAAGAGTAGCCCCCGCTCACTGCAACTAGAGAAAGCCTGCACCCAACAATGAAAACCCAATGCAGCCAAAATAAATAAATAAATAAATAAATAAATAAATAAATAAAAAGAAAAGATACATGTGCTCCAATGCTGATAGCAGCACAATTTACAATAGGCAAGACATGGAAGCAACCTAAGTATTCTTTGACAGATGAATGGATAAATAAGTGGTATATATATATATATAAAATGAAATACTACTCAGCTGTATAAAAGAATGAAATAATGCCATTTGCAGCAACATTGATGGACCTAGAGATTATTATATTAAGTGAAGTAAGCCAGACAAAGACAAATATCATTTCACTTACATGGGAATCTCAAAAAAAATATATGAATGAACTTATTTACAAAATAAATAGATTCACAGGTATAGAAAACAAACTTACAGTTACTAAAGGGGATAGCAAGGAGTTTGGGATTAGCTTATACACACTACTGTATATAAAATATGTAAACAACAAGAACCTACTGTATAGCACAGGGAATTATACTTAATATCTAAATAACCTATAAAGGAAAAGAATTTGAAAAAGTGTACATATATATATATATATATATGAAACTGAATCACTTTGCTGCACACTTGAAACTAACACAACATTGTAAATTAACTATACTTCAATAAAAAATGAGAAAAAAATATATAATTCTTGGCAAATGAATATTCTGTAACCACCACCACAATCAAGAAATATAAATGTCCATTACCTTAAAAAGTTTCTTCATATCCATGAAGAGTCAATCCCACACGTTTAGGCTTTGTCAAACACTGATTTTATTTCTGTTCCTACAGTTTTGTCTTTTTTATAATGTTATACACTAGATTTCTTTCTTGTTATGTTTTGGAAAACTACATTAGCACAAAACTACATTAATCCCTAGTTCTATTCTATTCTACTCTATTCTATTCTACTCTATTCTATTCTATTCTATTCTATTCTATTCTATTCTATTCTATTCTATTCTATTCTATTCTAGTTTGGCCAAGGATCAATGACGTGGCTCTGGAAATAGGCATACAGCTTCAATAGACCGGTTGAGAATAAGAATGGAATTATATACAGCAGATTATTGTTTTTCATCAGGTTTGGAAAATTCTAAATCATTCTCATTTCACATCTTGCTTCTTGCCCATTTTCTCTCTTTTCCTTTCTTAGACTCCAATTCTACACATTAGGCCTTTTCAACATGTTCCATATATTATGATTTTTTTTCTGTGTTTTTCTCTCTGTACTTTAGCTTGGTGATTATGTACATATTATATACATAATTGAGAAAATAGTTATATATAAATTGCTTTTTCTCATTTATGTATCCTTTCATCTTGTCCTCTGGCAGTTCTTATCTGCTGTCATACCCATCTATTAAGTAATCAATTTCATTTTCTACTTTAGAAGTTTAATTTTCAATTTAAATTCTTGATATTGTCACTTTTCTCCATTATTGAACATATTAATCACAGTTACTTTTAAATCCTTGGCTTTTATGCCAAAAATTCTCATTCATTAATCTGTTTCTATTATATGTTTCTTTCTTTCTGTCCTTGTAATTTTTGAATGATTGTCAAACACTGTATATGAAAAATAGTGGAGGCTCCAAATGATATCTTTCTCCAGAGAAGTTCACCTTTTCTGCTCATAGGCAAATAGAGAGGGGATGTTGTATGCCTCCTCTTTGTTAGGTTCTGACCTTTGGTTTTTATCCCCTCAGATTAGTGAAGTGACTTCTAAAAAATTTCTCTGCTGTTTAACAACTTTTTTTTTAGTCTTTTTCCCTGTTCATTTTAAGAATTCTGCTAATTTTGGAAGAGAAAACCAAGTGTCAGTTTGGCTGCTCAGAGATTACTTTTTCATCAAGATCTTGGTCTGTGAAGTCTTAACTGACTTGTCATCTATGACTCTAAATTGTTCTTCAGTTCTGTGGAATTGACAAAAGTTCTGAAAGATTCTGTGCCTTGTAGCCACAGCTCTATTCTTAAATTCTCCTCTTTTTTCTTTTTTTTTCTACCAGGAATCTGCAAAAATCTAAAATAAGGTGAAAGTGTGGGAAGTCACTTACAATGTATGTCCCCACACTGTATGGTACCACTTTCTTTGTAATTTTGGCTTTTTATGGTCTGATTGTCTCAACAATTCTCTGATAGCTTCAAAAAATTTATTTCTTATTTTTAAACAATTTAGAATTTTATCTGGTTTTTCTCAACAGGAACATAGTTTTCCTCAAGGAACTCCATCTCAGCCAGAAGCAGAAATCAATACAATGATTTCTTTAAAATTTTTCTATTTACCAGCAAGAGTTTGGAATTTGGGTGAGAGTAACAGGGAAATTGTTAGGTTGAGTTTAGACTATATAAAGAAATTCAAGGGGAACCTTCAAGATGGCAGAGGAGTAAGTTGCAAAACTACAACGATCAAAAGACTATGGTACTGGACGAGGGGAAGATGGCGGAAGAGTAAGACGTGGAGATCACCTTCCTCCCCACAAATACATCAAAAAATACATCTACATGTTGAAAAACTCCTACAGAACACCTACTGGACACTGGCAGAAGGTCTCAGACTTCCCAAAAGGAAATAAAATCCCCACATACCTGGGTAGGGCAAAAGAAAAAAGAAATAAACAGAGACAAAAGAATAAGGATGGGACCTGCACCTCTTGGAGGGAGCTGTGAAGGAGGAAATGTTTCCACACACTATGAAGCCACTCCACTGGTGGAGTCGGGGGGTGGGTGAGGGGGAAAGTTTCACAGCCATGGAGGAGAGAACAGCAATAGGGAGACAGAGGGCAAAGTGGAGAGATTCCCACACAGAAGTTTGTTGCCAACCAGAACTCGCCAACCTGAGAGGCTTGTATGCTCATCCACTGGGGAGAGTGGGGACTGGGAACTGAGGCTTGGGCTTCAGAGATCAGATCCCAGGGACAGAACTGGGGTTAGCTGTGTGAACACAGCCTGAAGGGGGCTAGTGAACCACAGCTAGCTGGAAGGGAGTCTGGGAAAAAATCGGGACCTGCCTAAGAGGCAAGAGACCATTGTTTTGGGGCACGTGAGAAGAGGAGATTCCTTCCCTGTCTGCCCACAGAAGGCAGAGCACCACCTAAATGAGCTCCAGAGATGGGCTTGAGCCACAGCTATCAGCTCAGACACCAGAGGCTGATATGAAATGCTACATACAGGCATGAAACACTAACACTGTTGCTGCAGGAACCAAGAATCCTATGTGTAAGTACGGGTCACTATCCACACACCACCCACCCCCTCCAGGAGCCTGTGAAGCCTGCTAATGCCAGGGTCCCATGATCCAGGGATGATTTCCCCAGGAGAACACACAGTGCAGCTCAGTCTGTTGCAAAGTCACACCAACCTCTCTGCCATGGCTGGCTTACCCCGTATTCCAGTTATAACTACCATAGCCCTCCCTCCCCATGGCATGAGTGAGCAAGGACTCCCTAATAAGCCGCTGCTTTAACCCCCTCCTCTCTGGGAGTGGAAAAGATGCCTGAGGGTGACCTAAAAGCAGAGGTGGGGCAAAAACCAAAGCTGAATCAGAAGATGTGTGAATAAAAAAGAGAAAGGGAAATTTCTCTGTGCAGCCACAGGAGCAGTGGATTAAATCCCCACAATCAATTTGATGTACCCTGCATCTGTAGAATATCAGAATAGAAAATGAATCATCCCCAAAATAAGGCAGTGGACTTTGGGAGTAATTGTAGACTGGGGGGTTTGCTGTCTGTGACTGACTTGTTTCTGATTTTTATGTTTATCTTACTATAGATTTTAGTGCTTGTTATCATTGGTGGATTTGTTTATTGGTTTGGTTGCTCTCTTTATTATTATTACTTTTTATTTTAATAAATTATTTTTTATTTCAATAACTTAATTAAAAATTTTTAAATTATTATTATTAACTTTTCCTCCTTTTCTTTCTGAGCTGTGCGGCTGACAGGGTCTTGGTGCTTCACCCTGGTGTCAGGCCTGACCCTCTGAGGTGGGAGAGCTGAGTTTAGGACACTGGACCACCAGAGACTTCCTGGCCCAATGTAAAATTAATCAGCAAGAGCTCTCCCAGATCTCTCCATCTCACTGCTAAGACCCAGCTCCACCCAACAGCCAGCAAGTTCCAGTGCTGGATGCCAATGCCAAACAACTGGCAAGAGAGGAACACAACCTCACTCATTAGCAGAGAGACTGCCTAAAATCATACTAATTTCACAGACACCCCAAAACACACCAGTGGATGTGGCCCTGCCCAGCAGAAAGACAAGATCTAGCCCCATAAAGGAGAACATAGGCACTAGTCCCCTCCCACAGGAGGCAACACAAGCCACTGAACCAACCTTATACACTGGGAGTAGACCGCAAAAACAATGGGAACTACGAACCTGCAGCCTGCAAAAGGAGACCCCAAACACAGTAAGTTAAGTAAAATGAGAAGACAGAGGAATATGCAGCAAATGAAGTACAATAGTAAAAACCCACCACACCAAACAAATGAAGAGGAAATAGGCAGTCTACTTGAAAAAGAATTCAGGGTAATGATAGTAAAGATGATCCAAAATCTTGGAAATAGAATAGAGAAAATAGAGGAAATATTTAACAAGGACCTACAAGAGCTAACCAGCATACAAACACTGATGAACAACACAATAAACGAAATTTAAAATTCTTTAGAATGAATCAATAGCAGAATAACTGAGGGAGAATAATGGATAAGTGACCTGGAACTTAAAATAGTGGAAATAACTACTGAAGAGCAGAATAAAGAAAAAAAAAAAGAAAATATTCAGAGGTCTCAGAAACCTCTGGGACAACATTAAATACACCAACATTGGAATTATAGGGTTACCAGAAGAAGAAGAGAAAAAGAAAGGGTCTAAGAAAGTTGAAAATTTGAAAACTTCACTAACATGGGAAAAGAAAGAGTCAATAAAGTCCAGGAAGCACAGAGAGTCCCATACAGGATAAATCCAAGGAGAAACACACCAAGACACATATTAAACTACCAAAAATTAAACACAAGGAAAAAATATTAAAAGCAGAAAGGGAAAAACAATAAAAAACCTACAAGGGAATCCCCATATGGTTAACAGCTGATCTTTTAGCAGAAACTCTGCAAGCCAGAAGGGAGTGGCAGGACATATTTAAAGTGATGAAAAGGAAAACCCTACAACCAAGATTACTCTACCCATCAAGGATCTCATTCAGATTTGAAGGAGAAATTAAAACCTTTACAGACAAGTGAAAGTTAAGAGAATTCAGCACCATAAAACCAGCATTATAACAAATGCTAAAGGAACATCTCTAGGCAGGAAACACAAGAAAAGGAAATGACATACAAAAACAAAAACATAACAATTAAGAAAATAGTAATAAGAACATACATATAGATAATTACCTTAAAGGTAAATGGATTAAATGCTCCAACCAAAAGACACTGACTGGCTGAATAGATACAAAAACAAGACCAGTATATACACTGTCTACAAGAGAAGCACTTCAGACCTAGGGACACATACAGACTGAAAGTGAAGGGATGGAAAAGATATTCCATGTGAATGAAAATCAAAAGAAAGATAGCATAGCAATTCTTATTTCAGAAAAAATAGATTTTAAAATAAAGACTGTCACAAGAGACAAAGAAGGACACTACATAATGATCAAGGGAGCAACCCAAGAATAACATATAACAATTGTAAATACTTATGCACCCAACATAGGAGCAATTCAATACATAAGGCAAATGCTAAGAGATATAATAGGGGAAATCAACAGTAACACAATCATAGTAGGGGATATTAACACCCTACTTTCACCAATGGACAGATCATCCAAAATGAAAATAAATAAGGAAACACAAGCTTTAAATGATACATTAAATATGAGGGACTTAATTGATATTTAAAGGATATTCCATCCAAAACAACAGAATACACTTTCTTCTCAAGTGCCCATGGAACATTCTCCAGGATAGATCATATCTTGTGTTACGAATCAAGCCTTGGTAAATTTAAGAAAATTGAAAATGTATCAAGTTTCTTTTCCGACCACATCGCTATGAGACAAGATATCAATAACAGGAAAAAAAACTGTAAAAAATACAAACACATGAAGGATACACAATACGCTAATAAATAGCCAAGAGATCATTAAAGAAATCAAGGAGGAAATAAAAAAACATACCTAGAAACAAATGACCATGAAAACAGGACGACCCAAATCCTATGGGATGCAGCAAAAGAAGTTCTAAGAGGGAAGTTTATAGCAATAAAATCCTACCTCAAGAAAGAAGAAAAATCTCAAATAAAGAACCTAACCTTATACCTAAAACAATTAGAGAGAGAAGAAGAAAAAAACCCAAAGTTAGAAGAATGAAAGAAATCATAAAGATCAGATCAGAAAATAAATGGAATAAAAACTAAAACACAACAGCAAAAATCAATAAAGCTAAAATCTGCTTCTTTGAGAAAAGAAACAAAATTGATAAACCATTAGCCAGACTCATGAAGAAAAAAAAGGGAAAAGACTCAAATCAATAAAATTAGAAATGAAAATGTAGAAGTAACAATGGACACTGCAGAAATACAAAAGATCATGAGAGATTACTACAAGCAAATATATGCCAATAACATGGACAACTGGGAAAAAATGCACAAATTATTAGAAAAACACAACGTCCTGAGACTGAACCAGGGACAAATAGAAAACATAAACAGACCAATCAGAAGCACTGAAATTGAAACACTGAGAAAAATCTTCCAGCAAACAAAAGCCCAGGACCAGATGGCTTCACAGGTGAATTCTATCAAACATTTAGAGAAGAACTAACACCTATCCTTCTCAAACTCTTCCATAATATAGCAGAGGGAGGAACATTCACAAACTCATTCTACGAGGCCACAATCACCCTGATACCAAAACCAGGCAAAGATGTCACGAAGAAAGAAAACTATAGACCAATATCACTGATGAACGTAGATGCAAAAATCCTCAAGAAAATACCAGCAAACAGAATCCAACAGCACATTAAAAGGATCATACACCGTGATCAAGTGGGGTTTATCCAAGAAATGCAAGGATTCTTCAATATACACAAGTCAATCAATGTGATAAACTATATTAATAAATTGAAGGAGAAAAACCATATGATCATTGCAATAGATGCAGACAAAGCTTTTGACAAAATTCAACACACATTTATGATAAAATAAACTCCAGAAAGTAGGCATAGAGGGAACTTACTTCAACATAATAAAGGCCATATCTGACAAATGCACAGTTAGCATCATTCTTGATGGTGAAACCTGAAAGCATTTCCTCTAAGATCCAGAACAAGACAAAGTTGTCCACTCTCACCACTATTGTTCTACGTAGTTTTGGAAGTTTTAGTCACAACAATCAGAGAATAAAAAGAAATAAATGGATTCCAAATCAGAAAAGAAGAATTAAAACTGTCACTGTTTTCATATGACATGATACTACATATAGAGAATCCTAAAGATGCTAACAGAAAGCTACTAGAGCTAATCAATGAATTTGGTAAAGTAGCAGGATACAAAATTAATGCACAGAAATCTCTTGCCTTCCTATACATTCCTTAATTTCTCTTTCACAGATATTAAGGAAACACTCCCATTTACCATTGCAACAAATGAATAAAATACCTAGGAATAAGCCTACCTAAGGAGACAAAAGAACTGTATGCAGAAAACTATAAGACACTGATGAAAGAAATTAAAGGTCATACAAACAGATGGAGAGATATACCATGTTCTTGGATTGGAAGAATCAACATTGTGAAAACGCTTATACTACCCAAAGCAATCTATAGATTCAATGCAATCCCTATCAAACT